TCAATTATATCAAATATGTCCAGTATATCAAATATATCAAATATATCAAATATATCAAATATGTCTGACATTTAGATCTGCAATATGCTGCGCCACATTTGTCGATCCAATCCTGTTACAGTATCAATAAACAGATTCTGATTAAAATTTGAGTTTAGCCAAAACCTTAAAGTTTTAAGATTGTAACTTATAGACTTTGTATTTCTTATATATAATAAATAATCATTATCATAGATTTCTAGTATTTAGTTACTTTAACCTTAAAAAAATTATAAATTAACTTTTCTAAAAATTGATATACTTAATTTAGATTAAGTTTGATTTTGAAGAAGTATAAGATTAGTCTTCTTTTAATTAGTTTTAGATTGTTTTAACAAGATTTTTGTAATTCCTTCTAATTTGTATTTTATATTTTATAATTTACTTTTATCATAATAAAAATTTTTGTAGAACTATCATATTTTAAAAAAATTATAAATTAACTTATAATAAATAAAATTTCAAATAATAAAATGTAATTATTTATTTATTAATATACTAATTTTAATATATCAGCTTTAATTACTTTTTTAAAATATTAAAGTTAATAGATTATATTATAAAAACTTAGTTGAAATATTAATATTATAATTATTGATGAGTTAAAAATAAATTATAATAATTTTAAAGAAAATAAATTATGTGATGTATTATTAAAAATAATATAGAAAATAAATAATAAAAAATAACTTAAAATAATTAGATAAAGGTCAAAATATAAATAATTATATATATTAAAGAAATAAAATAAAAAAATATATTCAAAGAATAGAGATAAAGAAATTTTATCAAAAAATACGAATAAAATTATATAAATATTATATAAAAAGAATCAGAATGTAAAAGAAAAATTATATAAATAATTATATAGTTTAATAAATAAATAAAGATAATGAAATATAATATTATGATGAATTATCTATAAAATATGAATAAAGAATTATAATAAAAGAAAAAATATTTTAAAAATAAAGAGAAATGTTTAATGAAATGGAATTATATTATAGAAGATGAATAAATAAATTATAAAAGAATAACTTATGTATTAAATGATTTGTATATTACTAAATATAATTTAAAAAGATAAATGATAAAGATAAAAGAATAATTAATAATGAAATGAAATACATATAAGAAAAAGAGTTAATAAACTATGAAAAAAAATAAGAATTAAATAAAAAATAATATATTAAAAGAATACAAATTATAGATTCTTAGATAAATATATAAAACAAATCCTCTTAATAAAGAAATACATTAGAAGATATAAGTTTTTGTTAAAATTATTGAACTTATAAAATGTTAATAATTTATAAAATATGAATTTTGGCGATTAAAAAAGTTAAATAAGAATAATAAATTAAGTTAACATATTAGTTAATTTTCACAACTAAAACTAATTTCTTTAAAAATTTACTAAAATATATGAAAATAAATATAAATTTCTAGGGATGGTTAATTAAGATTTGGTTTATTTAACCGGTTAATTAACCGTTTAATGAACCATTATATATTTTTTTGTATCACTATTTTTAAAAATTTTCTCGTTTTGATTGGTCGACTATGATTATCTTTTAGATTAATTATCTTTCGGTTAATTATCTTTAGGTTAGCAATCATCCCAAAGTAACGACGCGTGACGCACATTCCAAAAATGGTATCAATTTTATTTGCTGTTTGTTATTGTTAAATTTGATTTTCAATAAACAATAATATTACTACATTTTCACTTACAGAATGTTTATGAGCTGTCCCCTCTACGAATTTTTAGCAATCTTCATTTGCATTCTTTTTTCAGTTTTGATCACCGACTTTTATGGTAAATGGGTTAGAGGCAATAAGGAACCCAAAAAATTAATCAAAGTAGGAATGGAATATTATGACGAATACGGTCGACGATACCAATACGAATTCGAATGCGATTATCTCCCAACTCCAAAATTTCTACCGCGAGACTACAACATTGAAGAAAGAGCAAAAGATTACAAAGAACCGGATCCATACAACATTACTGAAGAGAAATTCTATGACAGAAAATCAGATACTTATCATCAACGAGAAGATTTCCGACGACGTCAAAATTGCTATAAATCACGCTACTAATCCTATGTTTTGTTGTTTTATTTTGTTTTATTTTACTAACTCCAAAATTTGAATTGCCTTCAGAAAAATATTCTAAAAAGTTAATAATATTAAGGAAAGCACATTCCAACATTAAATCTCGTTCGTTTTTTGTTGTTTTTATTGAAATTTATTTTAGGTTTTGTAGGGGCCTGATCGATGTTGCTGCACCTCAACGTTGGTGATCAGGTGGCAACGAGTCTTTTTCTTGTTTAAAAAAGAAAAGGGTTTGGCTAAGCCAGCAACGAAATATGCAATTCTGATGTTTCTTACCTTGACTATATTTAAAATAATTCAAGAAACATTTTTAAACGCGAATACAATAATAATAATTGTACTTGTGAAAAATTTGCTTGTTGAAGAAGTCATGCTACTTCGGCTAACCTCATTTAATTCGAGACTTGTTTGTATATATACAATTAATTTCAAAGTGACAAATAGCAAATCAAAATGCATAAAGTCTAGGTAGACCTTTCCATTTTCTAAAAAAAACAAAAAAAAGAAAATTCAAACTTTCAGGAGTAAATTCCCACCCTTTATAGTGTTTAAGCAAATTCTGATAAAAGTGTTTAATTGTTGATAAGCAGGTAATCCCCCCTTATGTTTTTTAATTACCTTTGACCAATATATACTCCGAAGTTCTTGAAGGTTGGGCAAATTTAGTAGTTTTGGAAGTATATTTGGTGAAATTAAAGAATATCGTATCATTATCATCATATTCAAAATATTTCAAATTTCTTTGGACTTTTATTATCTTTTGAACACAGAATTTTCAATAGACAGTTCAAAAAAAAAAAAAAATGATGCATTAGTAATGAACACGGATGCTATTATATCAAGGTCCTGGATATTTTCGATGACATTGTCATATATTTTAATGTAAACCGATTATAAGATTTTCACAAATCCAAGTTTTAGCGATATGAGTTATTTAAGTATTTACAAACTATATAAAATCTTGTCCTTTTATAGTGCTGGTTAGGCTTTTCCAAGGATCTTTCCATAATATGAAGTATTAACATTAAGGTCCAAAATCAAATAATATATTATATATTATTATTATTGATGTTATTACAACTTCTATAATATTTACTTTACATTATTTTCTTTTTTTTTTTTTTTTTTATAAATTAACTTCATCATCAGAAAAAACAATGACTCCATAAACCAAAATATTAGGCCAATAAAAACAACAAATGAAAGGTAATAAATAGTTTCCAAATAATTCATATTCCATTAAAGCCCATCTTAAAAACTCTTCCATATTAGTTCTACTAAATAATAATATTCCTGGTGGTGATATTATAATTAATACTAATAATTGTATATATCGTAATATTTGGTATTGCGGGGTTGGTTGAAATAATGAAAATGGTATTATAACCATTAATGAAATAAATACCGCCAAATTAAAATTAAGCACCGATAAACATGATATTATCATCGCTGTAAATGCTAATGTAAATGATTTCAATATCATCCAATTAGGTGCTGGCTTTTGTCTCGGAGGTGGTGCATTGTTATTAAGTGATCTAACTTGAGAAATTTTTATTAAACTTGTTGGTACTATTATTGACAGGCTTGATGTCAATGATAGTGTAAATAGAAATCCCTAAAGATACATCAAAGTAAAATTTAATATGCTTGAAATTGATAAATATTTGATACACTTAAAGCTCACCTGCATGCCAAACATTTCTGGCATTTGACTAATTGAAGAATGATTTAAAATCACAAAGAAAATGAGCAATCCTGTAAAATGAGTCACAATCAAAACTGTCATCGGAAATAAAATTTGTCGTGGCCGATTATTATACGGTAAAGGAACAGCATGGAAATTTTCGTTTGATGAACTAGATTTTGACCGGCCATCTTCGGGAACTGGTTCAATGATATTTCCTGTTTTCCCCCATAATTCTAAAGCGTGATTTAAATAAATATTAAGGGTTTATAATAATTCGAAATTAAAACAGGGATTAAAAAAAAGGATATATGGAAAATCAATCCAACAGCTAATAATAAAGCAGGTGGCAGATATGAGCCTATTGAAATATATCGTTCGGGAGTCGGCAAAAGATAAAAGAAGAAAGATTGGTGGAGATGTTCTAAAAGATTATTTAAACTCCTAAAAGTTGACTCCACAATACTATAATTTGGACAATCATTCAAATTAATAAGACTTAAAATAGGAAAAAAATGAATTATGTTATAAAATCTTACGATCCAATTTCTTTAAAACTAAAAGAATTTGAAGTAGGAGCGGAAGTATGACCATATAAAGTTATGGCGTCAATCTTATATCTACATTCAAAGTTAAAAATGTAAATTAGCGACTACGATAAATGAAGTAATAGATAAATTTACTCACCTGAAAAACAAGCCGTGGCTTCCAGTTGGATGTCCTAAAGCTTGATATTTCATAGCCTGCAATAAGTTATGGAGTGAGGCATAATAATCGCCATTATCATAAAGGTAATGATGTCCAGAATCATGTAACATGATGGGAATGTGATTTGATATTCGACACACTCTTACGACTGTGTTTATTAAATCTAAATTAGGAAGTTGTCCATTAACGCCCTCTAAAATGCAAATAAGTTAGAGACGTTGATTTTGAGTGTAAAGAATTAAAATAAAAAAATGTTACCAAAAAAAATTCCCAATGCCTTATAATCAGATGTATTTGGAAAATCTAAATTTATAGCTGCCTGAATTGCACCAGATCTCAACAACAAAGGCGTCGATAAAATGCCTTTATATATAAATAATTGAAGAAATAACATAAACATCATTATTAGAGCATAATTTTTCCTAATTAATATATATATTAACCTGATCGAGGAAGGTCGTGATATGATTCAAGCCATGCTTGAACACCGGCTTCTCCACCATCCGTAATAAGAATTATAATATCTTTGGACCAATAAGTGTAACCTAATAAATTAAGGAGAATTTGTATAAAATTGATAGAAAAATGTTAAATCCCAAGAGAACCATTTACCTTTGAAAAATTTTCCCAAAGACAGAGCTGCTGCTATTCCATTGATATTAACTAAAATTAAAAAAAATTTAATAGGACGTAAGCGGAAAGTAATAATATATTTAATTTTTTAACTTTACTTGTTTTTCCATCCCTTGATTTCCATGGGGCACTCAAAACAAGCGCTTCTGTTCCATCTGCGCGTGGTGCCTTGATTAAACCGTAAACATTTGTTCCATAAATTTTCTGTGAATTGATTAATTACTTTAATTATATAAGAATCAAAATAATTATTTTTTTTAAAACAAACAAAAAAAATTTAACCCGATTATTTACCTTTCCAGATACGTTAACCGTAAAATTCTGCATTGCTGTTTTTAATCCGGCCTTCCGTAATCCTTCTTCTATATAGACGGCTCTCCTGAATCGTTTCATAAGGAAAATAGTACTTAAAAATTGATCAAGTATTCCATTTTATCTTCTTTATCAATTGACATACTTTATACTTGAAACATTTGACATCAAGCTTATATCGTCTCGAAAATTTGTTGCATCAAAAACCTGTCCCCAGCTATAATATGTGTTAACCTATATCATAAACGGGTTATTTAATTTATTTGATTTTAATTTGATTTAATTTTAATTTGAAACATAATTATCTAAAATAAATTCACAGACCTGGCCAGGAAGTAGAGCATTTTCTGATATATAAGTGTTTTTGTGATATTGTTCCGATGGAAAAATAAAAAGCCAACATATTCCAACAGCAAACAAAAGATACCTATATTTAATACAAAAACTAACACGTCAAAAAAAAGAAAATATATTAAATAATGTTAATTAAATAAATAAGATACCGAAGTTTCGGAACCCATTTTTTAAGAGTTTGAATCAATCTTCTCCGCTTTCGAAGCCTTTCTAATGAGCGAACGATATCTGGCATTATGAAATATAATATTGGAAGGAAAGAGAAAATCAAAAAATCTGTTTTATTAATGCGCGTAAACTTAAATTGGGAATGATCTACACCAATGCGCAGTAAGAGAGCGTGAATCTCAGAAGTGACCAAGGCTCCGCGACACTTTACATTTGTTCCAAATTATAAATGAAAAATTGTTTGTTTTATTTTTTTTTTTCGATCGTTTTTAACTAAATTGATGTTGATAAACTCGCCGAGAACGCTAGCGCACTGCGCCCACAAGATGTCCACGTGCTTAAACGAAATAATGCACTGCTCCAATCAAAATATAAGATGTGGTGAATTATGTCGTGTCATTCGATTAAATAATCGCTGATCGATCATTTATAGCTTCGCTACTTTGGGTAATACGGCTACGATTTGTTTATGTTATTAAAAAAAATATAAAAGCCACAGTTTTCTTTATTCTTTTCTCTCGAAATTTTTTGATTTTTTTATAAGAAAAATTTGGAATTCTTTAAGGATGACACCATCATTACCAACAGATTGTCTTAATGGTATATTTAGATGTTTATTAGACGACGCAAGTTCACTTCATTCTTGTTTATTAGTGAATAGATTATGGTGTAAAATAGCAATCCCACTCTTGTGGAATAATCCGTGGCAGAGCACGCAACTTTTTGTAGATAGAAATTGGCCAGCGATTATAAGAACATTTTCATCTTGTTTACCTGAAGAATCAAAAGATATATTGAGAAAGAATGGAATAGATTTATTACAGACAATATCATCGAAACCTTCCTTATTTGATTATGTAGGGTATTGTCAATATTTATCGCCCACTGTGATGGATAGGCTTAAAAGAATTCTGACGGTTGGAGAAGATAATAAAAAAAATGTTAACGAATGTTATTCTAGATTATACAGAGAACATCTAGTGGAGCAAGAATTTTATAAATTATTTATGTCAAGATGTTCTCTTAAACATCTCGTTTTGCCAAGGATTCCTTTATCTTATTTTCCTGGAGCAAATCATTGCCTAGAATATCTTCGACACCTTAAATGTTATATCGATAGACCACC